GTTCCTTCAGGATACTTGAGCCAGCCCATGTGCAGCATTAGTTTGGGATCCGGTTAAAGCTGTGGACATTCGCTTTTCGTCCTCTCATTTTCGTAAACAACAGTTAAGCCACGAGAATGCAGTGAGTAGGACTTCTCTGACAAAGGCTGTATATGCGTGGCCATGTGAGAGCATTTCGAGAGGGATTACTGACTCTCCCCACTCTCGGTCGTACCAGGGCATTTGGGGGCTCATCACGCTATTGTGGTGGCAAATAATAGGTACCTGAATAAGAATACACTTTATGAGTGACCTAGTTTAATTGGCTCATATAGAGATAAATGGAAGTTAGTACAAATAATTCACAATATATATTTTCACATGTCTGTCCTACAATCTAAACAAGGGTATATAATTGTTTGACAAAAAGAAATGTTATCTGATCAGTGACAGATTACTGGATCACCATACACTAGAAGGTTCAATCGAAGTGACAAGTAATAAGAATAGGAAGTCATGCATGCTCGTTATCTCTGTCTCTTTCACTTTCTCTCTCTCTCTCTCTCTCTCTCTCTCAATTACAATCGGGACCAATTCATTATCGGACTGAATAATTGTGTAAACAACATCTTGTCAGCTGAGTCATGAGGCTAAGAAGAGAGGAACATCATATCAATGAATGATAATATTGGCACCATTTCCTCTTCGATTCTATAGACCCTACCAAGTGGTATAAAACTATGTATGATAAAAAATGAACAACTTCGAAATAAATGTAAAATTTCAGGCAACCATATTCCTTATTAAATCTAAACAGAATAAGAACGCTGGTAAGATGAAATAAACTTAATCATTTTTCAATTTACTATCTTATCATATTTATCCTTTACATAATCCCATTGTTCATATATATATATATATATATATATATATATATATATATATATATATCGCAGCCCCCAAATGCCCTGGTACGGCAGAGAGTAGGAACAGTCAGCTCTCCCTCTCGAAATGCTCTCACATGGCCACACGTATATAGCCTCTACCAGGGAAGTCCTACTCACTGCCTTCCCACCAACGAGGTGTTGTTTACGAAAGTGAGACGACGAAAAGAGAATATCCACAGCTATAACCAGATCCTAAACCAATGCTGCACATAGGCTCCAGTATCTTGAAGGAACAAGTGGGGTATGAACCAATCATTGGTCACCGGCTACCATGGGACTGCATCTCCTTACGATGCTCCACTGTCTTGTGGATCAGACGTTCAGGTCGAAGACTCCGGGTGTGGCCCCTTAAGAAAACCACCTGATTCGGTATGTGCACCCAGCCAGTATCACAGCCCTCACACACATCAAATGAGGTCTGTGTGGTGCATATGTATTTGGTGCCTCGTTGTACCAATATCTATATGTTACAATAAAATAAAATCAAAACAAGTGATTGCGTAATCGATTGCCAATTTCCTTACGCAACCACTATTATCTCGATTATGATTAATAGTAACTATGATATCTGTTCTACCCTAAAATACTATTTTACAATACATCGATCGATCCATACACTGTGTGTACTATTCTTTTTGATATGACTTGGGTTACTATTGAACATTTATCTAAACTTCACAAACTAAAGTCTATTAAACATTCCTTTATATTTATATTGCTAATTATAATTTTAAGCTGTATACAGCTGATGAAAACCATGAAATAGAATGCTGAATTCATTTTTATCCTTCAAACCTTGTTGTTCTTGTTCTGTTGAAGTATAAATTCGAATCCCGGAGTGAACATCAACTCTAGGATGCAAATACATCCAGTTGATTATTTCCAGATAGCACGAAACACGCGTGCTAGATTCCACTGCTAGTCACTAACCATCATTGATTATAAAGTTTGTGACTTAAAGAAATATCGAGGTAGTATGCATAGGATGCCTATATGCCAACAAGAGACTGATCAATTGCAGTTCTAAACAACAATCGGAAGATACAAACAAACAATCCCAAGTGAACAAAATCAGTATTGTTTACACACTAACAAATTGGTTAAAATAGTGTTATGTAATCACGAAAACCACCTTATACCGACTACACACCTTGAAGAAATAAAAGATTGTCTATCACACAGAACATTGACAAAAATGCAGTGTGGTAGCCTGAACAGATAAACATTTATGCTATTTTATTTATTTATTTAAACACACACTGGTATATGGAGGCCCAAAGATATATGCAGCACATAAATCACTCGATTTGTGTGAGAGATGTGATACTGTCTGGGTGCCCAAACCGAAGCAGAAGGTTTGCTTAGGGGTCATACCCGGAGCCTTCAACCTAGAGGTCTGATCCACAAGGCAATGGAGCACTGCAAGGAGATGCAGACCCATGGTAGCCGGTGACTTACGATTGGTTCATACTCCAATTGTTCCTTCAGGATTCTGGAGCCAATGTGCACGATTAGTTTGGAATCAGGGTTTTCCAACTGCCCTAGGTGGACCCACCATATCCACCAACCCGGTCTAGCACTGGACATTCGCTTCTGGTCCTCTCAATTTCGTAAACACCCTTCTCGTCGCGAGAACGTAGTGAGTAGAACTTCCCTGTCAGTGGTCGTATGCACGTGACCATATGAGAGCATTTCGATAGAGAGAGCTGATTATCCTCAATCTCAGTGCGACCAGGTCATTATGGGTACTGATTAAGACTGATTGGCTGCCTGATACAACCTCATCTAAAGCTTGAATATTCAACTGAATGTAATGACCATGTTATAAAACTTTCATATACATCATACTTTGATACTTTATATACATCCAACTGAATAGTATATTTCTATGAGAATGAAAATAAAGTTATTTATTTGAACACAAATACTGGTAAAAGGCACCAGATACATTATGCCATACAAATCTCATTTGATTTGTGTGAGAGCTCTGATATAGTCTGGGTGCACAAACCGAAGCAGGTGGTTTTCTTAGGGGACCATACGCGGAGCCTTCAACCTAGAGGTCTGATCCACAAGCCAATGGAGCACCGCAAGGAGATGCAGTCACATGGTAATCAGTGACCAACGACTAGTTCATACGCTCATGTGTACCATTAGTTTGGAACCAGGGTTTACCAACTCCCCTAAGTGGAGTCTCCATGTCTACTAACCCAGTCAAAGCACCGGACATTCGCTTCTGATCTTCTCAATTCCGTAAACAACACCCCTGGTGCGAGAATGCAATGAATATAACTTACTTTCGACCATACCATGGCATTTAAGAGTAAATAAAGATGACGATGAGCTAGCTAGTTTCAATAATAAACAAATATTAGTTATATTCACAGTTATATAATATACCCTTGTGGGCCAGGGTAATTTTACATTGGTTTTCAGGAAAACCAGACACTGTCCAGACTTTTACGTGACAAACCGAACATTACAGCTCAACCCTGTATAACAGGAGAGCCAGACACTGCTCAGGCATAGGTTTTATAGGCCGAGCAGTACAGCTCAATCCTGCTTCACAGGGGAGCCAGGCACCGTATAGGCTATAACGCTGCAATCTGAATCGTACAGCTCGATTCTGTGATGCAACCACACAGGTACCAAGCACCCTGGTGGACGATTCTCACCATTCATATACACATTCACAACATATGTATAATTATTCCGATCAATGATCGCGTGAATCAATCATGCACAGCATGAACAGGCCAAATTTGACCTATTCCGCTTTTACACGACAGTCAAACTCATTAATGTTAGCAATAGCGACATGCCTTACAATGTCCCAATGATAATAGCTCTTGAGAACACTGAAAAGCAGCCACCAGTATGAATGAAATCAGTTAACCAGCAAATCAATTTTGTGCATGAAGTCAGAAAAACTTGCCAAAAGTAATGCTAAACCATCTACAATAAAAAAATGGCGAACCTTCAGCCTCATATGAGGCCCCCAAATGACCTGGTACGACCGAGAGTGGGAACAGTCAGCTCTCCCTCTCGAAATGCTCCCACATGGCCACACGTATATAGCCTCTTCCATAGAAGTCCTACTCACTGCCTTCCCATCAACGGGATGTTGTTTACGAAATTAAGAGGACGAAAAGAGAATGTCCACAGCTTTAACCGGATCCTAAACCAATGGTACACTTGGGCTAGCTCCAGTATCCTGAAACAAGAAATAGCGTATGAACCAATCGTTGGTCACCGGCTACCATGGGACTGCATCTCCTTACGATGCTCCACTGCCTTGTGGATCAGACGTTCAGGTCAAAGGCTCCAGGTATGGTCCCCTAAGAAAACCACCTGCTTCGGTCTGGGCAACCGGGCAGTATCACAGACCTCATACATATCAAATGAGATCTATGTGGTGCATATGTAGCCTCATATGAGGCTTTCAGCTCTACATAACCATAAACAAACATATGAAACTTTTAATAATCAATAAGAAAGTTTTCTTCACAAAAGTTTATTCTCTTTTTTTTATTCCATATATCATTTAAAGAGACATAATTGACAATAGTTATATATATATATATATATATATATATATATATATATATATATATATATATATATACTGAAATTTTAGTTGCCAAGTTTATAAATAAACCAAAATGTTAATTTTACTTGAATACAACTACAGTGTACATAGGAATTTGTTTTTAACAACAACAAAAAAGAGAAAAGAAAAGAGAAGGAAAGAACAACAATAAATCGATAACAGTAATATAACACTGATTTCTTTTATTCACTTCTATAAAATAATAAATAATTTATACAACATACATAAATATATAAGAGATGATTACATGTGTTACATAATAGATATTACATTTATATTTTGCTTTAATTATGCAATGATACATACATTATGGTAGCAAGAACTCATTATAATCAATACCGATGAATTGTCATAAATCCTGTATACATCTATTGGAATGAAGAACAATGGTACTATTGAAATAATGATGTTCCTGTTGCTGGTGGTGGTGGTGTAGTTGTTGTTGTTGTTGTTGTTGTTGTTGTTGGTGGTGGTGGTGGTGGTGGTGGTGGTGGTGTCAAGAGAACATTTAATATATGTATAAACATTAAAATGTACAAAATGTACACACAAGCAGTAACAATGATAATGGTAATAAGATTTTTTTAAAAAAATTAGCCGCCAAAACTTTTAAGTTGGAAAAAAACACTGTTATATCATTGTTATTGAAAGTTTGAAAATTGAATGAAAGAATAACAGATAGGTAATGAAGCAGGCAAGTAGTAGTAAAGCAGAAATAAACAGATTCAATTCATTTGGGAGAACGAAGAAGGATACATAGAGGAGGAGAAAGGAAAGCAAGAAGGTGGTAAACATCATTAAAATTGATATACGTTTAACTATTAACAAAACGGTTAGTTACATAATAAATCTATCAATAGAACCAATGAATTTATCGATACATTTCTATGTGTAAAATATATATATAAATATAAAAAGAGATCATTTTATCAAATGTTCTGTTGCCATTGCTAAATCCCAATTCTTCATGGATAATGCACGACAAGCTTCATGCTATGATGATAGAAACATAGAGAGAATGATGATCAAACACACACACACACAAATGGAAATTACAATGAGATATTGATAAATGTTCTTAAAATACAGTGAAATATTCCTAGAGTCAATTTTCTTAAATATAATGAACATAGACTATTCGATACGAATGAATATACATTGCCAGATCACGATATTAATTACATGCTATTTCCCAAGTTGGTGGATATGAAGGATCTACCTAGGGCAGTTGGAAAACCTTGATTCCCAACCGATGGTGTACATGGGCTCCAGTAGCCTGAGGGAACAAATAACCTGTGAATCAATCGTTGGTAACCGGCTATCATGAGATCGCATCTCCTTATGTTGTGGAATAGGACCTTTAGGTCGAAGGCTCGTGGTGTTGCCCCCTAAGTAAACTGTCTGCTCCGGTCTGCGAACCCGGTCAGTATTCTAGCCCTCACACAAATCGAATGATTTATGTGGCGCATATCTATTTGATGCCTTCATGTACCGATGTTTATGTGTTTAAATAAATAATATAAATAATGTTATATCCCAACCCTTTGATTACTGAAAACAAAACCGATGGACGTTTTCAACTAGGAGACAACAGCTTTTATAAGTATAGTAGAGAAGTGTTCTTTCCAATACGTTGTACATCCAAGCCTTAACATCTACACTAGCGGATTTAGTGGTCTAGTAGTTAAGTGCTGGCGCGCAAGACTGGTAGGTCCTGGATTCGAATCCCGCGAGGCGTGGTCGTGAATGCGCACTGCTGAGGAATCTCACAATAGGACGAAACGGCCGTCCAGTATTTCCAGGTGCCCTCAAATGCTCTGGTATGGCCGGGTGTGGCCCCCTAATAAAACCACCTGCTTCCGTTTGGGCACCCAGGCAGTACCACAGCCCACACACAAATAGAATTTTGTGTGGCGCATATATATTTTGTGCCCTCTTGTACTAATATTTGTGTTCAAATAAATAAATAAATAATAAATAATCTACACTAGCATCCCAACAGTGTTAAAAGTCAGTCAAATTAGATTAGGCTATAGCTTTTATTGTACATAAATAGATTTTATTTAACACACCAGTCCCCGGTACACTATTGGCAATCAAATAGCTATTAAGACATAAAAACCATAATTATTTTTTAACAGATTATCACAAAGGCTGGTAGGAAACACATGCTTCTAAGACTTTTCTTCTAGAAGATAAGTTTCGTTATAGTATTAAAAGTGACTATGACATTATATATTATTGTTCTTTTTGGTTAAAACAAACGAACGCACTACTGTGAGATACCATGGGGTAAATTAATTAGAAATCACTAAAATTACACTAAGCCCCCAAATGCCCTGGTACGGCAGAGAGTAGGAACAATCAACTCTCCCTCTCGAAATGCTCCCACATGGCCACACGTATATAGCCTCTTCCATAGAAGTCCTACTCACTGCCTTCCCATCAACGGGATGTTGTTTACGAAATTAAGAGGACGAAAAGAGAATGTCCACAGCTTTAACCGGATCCTAAACCAATGGTACACTTGGGCTAGCTCCAGTATCCTGAAACAAGAAATAGCGTATGAACCAATCGTTGGTCACCGGCTACCATGGGATTGCATCTCCTTACGATGATCCACTGTCTTGTGGATCAGACATTCAGGCCGAAGACTCCGGGTGTGGCCCCTTAAGAAAACCACCTGATTCGGTCTGGGCACCCAGCCAGTATCACAGCCCTCACACACATCAAATGAGATCTGTGTGGCGCATATGTATTTGGTGCCTCCTTGTACCAATATCTATGTGTTAAAATAAATAAATAATAAATCTTATTCTTACATTATAATAACGTTACATGACATTCAATTAAACCGAGTTTTGACAACATATGCAAACATATTGTCAGTTGTTAAGTGTTATACCAATGGAACAGATATAAAACAGCAAAAATTTTACACTATGTACTCATCAGTCGATTCGCTTAATAACGCAAACATACAGTTCAAGAAATTATTTTACCTCATCAAAACCCATTTGAACAAGTTTATCTACTAAGTCAACACAATGAGGATCACATCCAGGTCCATTAGCATAAATGCCTGCCCAATGACGTGCAGTTCGATTAAAGGCGTCTATGCTACTTTTATATTGATTAGCAACAACTGCATCTTGTGGATCGTCTGGTTCTGGAGAAGCTAATAATGCTTGAATAGATAGAAGTATAGTGCGTAATGACATAGCAGCAGCCCTGTGAAGAGAATGCAAAGTAAATGAGTGTCTACAACATGAAGAAAAGCTTTTTGTAAAAATAACTTGAAATGACCCTCATAAGGTAATCAACGGTTACGCAAGAAAACATCAATAACTTTTTATTATGGAGTACGAAATTATGAGCGGGTTTTCGAAATGTCAAAGGAATGGATGCAAGGCTAATCGATGGCCGATATGCAATGACATGAAATGACTGTGTGACGGTTGCTTACGAGACCGCCCCCAAATGCCCTGGTACGGATGAGAGTGGGAAGTCAGCTCTCCCTCTCCAAATGCTCTCATATAGCTACGTACATACAACCACTGACAGTAAAGTCCTACTCACTACTTTGCGGCATTAATAATTGAGAAGACGAAAAATGAATGTCCGTTGCTTTGACCGGGTTGGTGGATATGGAGGATCCAACTATGGCAGTTGGAACATCCTGATTCCAAACTAATGGTGCACATGGGCTCCAGAATCCCGAAGAAATAAATGGCGTATGAACCAGTTATTGGTCACTGGTTACCGTGTGACTGCATCTCCTTACGTTGCTCCACTGCCTCGTGGACCAGACCTCTAGGTTAGAGGCTCGGGGTAGTGGCTCCCTAAGAAAACAGACTGCTTCAGTATGAGTACCTGGTCAATATCAGAGCCCACACACTAATCAGGTGAATTGTGTGGTGCGTATGTATTTGGTGCCCTTTTTACCAATACTTATGTCTTCAAATTAATAAATACCTCACGAGACCTAATTATTTATGTAATACACCAAATAGACCGATATTGGATGACAAGACAGCTGCCCAATAGAACAAGGTTTTTAAGTAAAAAAATAACATGATTATATGGAAAATATTCAGAAAACCAACTATAACTAAATGTCAAATGCAACTGGAGGAAATTCACTCTGTCGGTCAATTTCACTTAAACCAGCTGGGTAAATAGCATTAAGAACTGATTATCAAGTTCGTCCTTTATATTTATGCAAATGGTATTTGAACGATTCGATCAGGAAATGTACGCATGTAATTGGTGAGACTATAATTTATGGACGATCTTTGAGTGACGCTAAACTGACTTTGAGAATGTCCACCTATTAACTAGGACTAAATGACGGTTATAAAGTAGTGTAAGTATTTAAAACTATGATTTACAGTTGATGGCTAGGGTTAGGAACTAAACTTAGAGTTTTCATCACGAATCGAGATCAGCTAAAATGTCAAGATGCTATTTAGCCATATGGATGAACGGATTTCGCGCCAAAATCCGAAATTTGTTAGCTTATACCTAACTGGTCCGTTTATAAACCATAGTCTTTCCATGAAATTCATGAATAGACACTTACTTACTAATCAGTAGTACAGTTCAAAATGACTTAAAAATCAACATAACTTCAGATGTTTATATGGTACAATTTTACAAAAAACCAAATTTTGCAAACATTTTACACTTTGATGTCTAAGAAAGAGGTTGATTCTATCAAATGGGAACATTGAAAAGAGTGCGTATTTATGAAAATGAGTTAATATAGGGAGGTGGGGTAAAAAAACACTTGGTTGGAGATATTAAATCTTATGGCTCGGAATCGGTAACAAAACCACAAATGCATATATATTTTATCTTCCTCTAGGTCTTGAGTTTCAACATTCCTACATGTTCTCTGGTGCTTTAACATTCACACTATTATTATTACTATTGTTATTTCGACGTTTTCGTTACCTACATACCTTGTTAGTTTTATCTGGCCGTGTTGATAAAGATTAATAACATTTGTACCTGGTTCTTCGTTGAGTAAAGTTTTGATTGACCAATTACTATTCTAAGCTAAGTTTGAATTAGGATACATACAGTGTCAGATATTGTTACAGGCCCCCAAATGCCCTGGTACGGCCGAGAGTGGGGAGAGTCCGCTTGCCTCCTTATAATGCTTTCACATGGCCACGCGTACATAGCCTCTTCCATAGAAGTTCTACTCACTGCATTCTCGTGTCTTAACTGTTGTTTACGAAATTGAGAGGACGAAAAGCGAATGTCCACAGCTTTAACCAGATCCCAATCCAATGGTGCACATGGGCTCCAGTATCCTGAGAGAACAAATGGTGTACGAACCAATTATTGGTCACCGGCTACCATGGGACTGCATCTCCTTACGATGATCCACTGTCTTGTGGATCAGATCTTCAGGTCGAAGACTCTGGGTGTGGCCTCTTAAGAAAACCACCTGCTTTGGTTTGGACACCCAGCAGTATTACAGCCCTCACACATATCAAATGAGATCTATGTGGCGCACATGTATTTGGTGCCTCGTTGTACCAATATATATGTGTTAAAATAAATAAAATAAATAAATAAATGCGCCATACGAATCTCATTTGATTTGTGTGAGGGCTGTGATACTGCCCGGGCGCCCAAACAGAAGCATGCTAAATACTTACACTACTTTATAACCGTCATTCAGTCCTAGTTAATAGGTAGACATTCTCAAAGTCAGTTTAACGTCATTCAAAGATTGTCCATAAATTATAGTTTCACCAAATAGTCTAGATTTAAGGAAAATAGCTGCTCTAAAGAGTTTTTGAAGAAGATTGTTAAAATGGAATAAAAAAATAAAATTAAAATGTAAACCAAGAGAATGGAAGAACATTGTCGTCATCTCACACCGTACAGAAACATCGAAGGAAACTGAGACGACTTTAAATGAACATAATAAGAATTTCTTACCGTACCGGTAGTACTATAAGATCAGCATTAGTTAAAGACAAGGATATGTTACTAAAAGAAGAGCAACAAAATGTTTTCCATGAGAGTAAATGTTATGAATGCATTGCAGTTTATATTAGAGCAACATCTAGACAGCTGAATGTGAGGTTGAAAGGAACACAAGCAGTGTGAAACATTTTCCTGAACCACAAAACGCATGAGAATCGAGCAAAAATGGTGTTACATTTGTTATAAACAGAATATAAGATCAACTCGGAAACAACCAAGGTACTTCAAAAGGACTTTGTTGTTCAAAAAGGCTGTATGTATGGATTAATCACAAAACCCTGGACATAAAAAATGAAATTTAGCTAGCCATCTCTTGTCAAATGTTTATCAACAAATAATAGGACCTTACCTCAGTTCACCTGTTTATACCACATGTTTCAACACCAAAGCTGTGTTTGATTATTCACACTTTATATATTTTAAAACACTTCAATCCGTACTACTATTTTTAATGAACTGAGCGATTGGTAGAGGGACTTGATTTATTCACTAAATATTAGGTATTAATAACATCAAGGTATACACATTCACATACTTTTCACACCACTTACATCTTACGAACTCATATGATCTTACAAAAGTTAACATCTCAAAATGATTGGATAACCTTTAAGTATAGATTAAATAGTTAAACGTTATGTATTATTTGATAGTTTCGATTTCGATCGTTACGCTGAAGTCCCGATAAGATTACTGGACGAAACGTTATAATTACTTAGATTTCAAACTCTGAGATAATTTAAAGCACAATTTTCACAAATCAGGACTTTTATAGACTCGTTCCCCGAACTGTTCGTCCAAATATAAATGAATATTTGGATAAACAACTTTAGGACATCCACTATTTTATGAGTTTTAGCGGTGGTTAGGCGGGGATGGCGTTCGACTTTCACATCCGGGAAGTTTGAGGTTCAGACTGCATTTCACCTACCTCGGTTTAGACAACTAAATGTTCTTACTAGCCATCATACTCAATGTGGCTCGTAACCAAGTACGATTTATTGATAGTGATAACTGGAAAATGAGGGAACGATTCTGTCGTAATATAAAGAACTGTACTGCCCTTGAACTATTAATCCGAATACCATACTTTATAAACATATTCTTTGATTAACTTTTTGCCTTTATAGTGTATAACGTTCTAGACAGGAAACATATATCCGAAAATAAAAGTTAAAAGATACTTACCACTGATCCTTCAGTACATCAAGGCAAATTACGCCAGTAGCACTACTAATATTAGGATGCCAAATTTTGGTGATAAATTTAACCTTTGGGGGAACAAATGGGTAATTTTCAGGGATTATAATGTCTAAATTGAATTCAGCGCCAGTATAAGGAGTATCCGGTGGGCCTTTGATGAGACCACATAGATGCATCATGTCATCATTACAAGGTTTTATTTCCAACTGATTCTGTGCTGCCTAAAATTTTAAAATAGCAAGGAGAAAAAAGTGCCAACATTGTGTTTTGCAGCATAATAAGATTCAGTAACTAGGTGAATATTTAGGTAGATCGGTGTTAATGTTAAGAAATATAATCGCCATACCGTTGTCAAATATGAAGTGGATAAGGAGAGAGCTTCGATTATTTATTATTATTATTATTATTATAAATAATCGAAGCTCCCTCCTTATCCACTTCATATTTGACAACGGTATGGCTTCGAAGTTGAAGACAAAGAACTAATGAATTCAAATCAGTTTGTTCCGTCAAGAGTAGAGCGCCGACATTAACAGAAACGAGCTGAATAGCATTGGTAATAACTTGAGTCTATTTGAATACATTTTGAAGTTTCTTCAATTTTTATACTTCTGATCTGAACAAGAGATAATCACTAGCATTTAGCTGTACCACTGAGAAGCCACTTAAGAAAAGCTGCAAATGTATACTTGTCTAACCAACCCTATTAGGAACTACAGGGTTTTACTGTTTTGCTCCACAATGTACCTCGAATAATGAAGATTTGCAGATCATGTGAATACTTTTAATTGTGTGGTGTCCTTTGAGCTAGATAGTTTAATTGAAGTGTTTTCATGGATGTCTTAAAAAAAGTCAGCCCAAACTACATCATGTAAAAGTAGGTAGAATGTTGTCTAGAACCAGTCGAAACTTTGCAATTAAACCATCCGCCTTAGTGAATACAATTTATTAACTGAACACATGAAAGTATATAGTTTATCACACACTTGCATAGCAATCTATCCCAAGTGTACGTATGGACACTGGTTTAAAGTGAAGTCATTGGGTGTCGATACCAGTGATCATATGTAATAAACGTTGAAGTCACCTGAAACCATGATGTTAACATTACCAGTACATTGTGAAATTGACGGTCTTGAGTTGAGTATCTTTATTACGCCTCAGGTAAAACAGGTTCCTACTTATTTGTGTTGGAAAAAAATATATGAGCATCCATAGAAAAAAAGATTATACAGGGAGCCATGTTATGAAAGACTGACTACATCACACGTAGGCCTCTACTGGAAAACTGGGTAGAAAACGCGGTGATTGAAACACCTAGATTGCGTATCTAACACATCGACATGGTGTTTTGTCAATAGTAAAACAATTATAAGTGGTACCAAAACAAAACATATGAATCTTTCTGCATCCTAAGGTTGTTTCAAGGTACTCTGAGAAGGTTAAGTATAGATCGGGTAAATATTTTAGATGAAAATACTGAACAAGACCTCCAGTCTTGATCACCTGTTCCCGTACACAAATGACTGCGATTTTATGAGTCAGATGCGTGCACACTTATTAATGTCCTTCATTGATGTAGATTTCTATCTTTTTAAACCAAAAATAAAGACGAGTGAGTGAATAGCAGATCCACAACATATCCCGAACTTTGACTCATGGATACGAGTGGGTAGAAATTTCCAAGATACATAGATTATAACAAAAATTCAATAGGAACAACTAACTTCATCTGATTTCATCAGCTCTGCTAACTCTTTTTGAATACGTTTTCCCGCAATGCTGGCCATCCGAAACAGTGGGAAACACGCCCAGCGTACCGCAAATGCTTAAATATGACGCACAAATGGTTCAAATGGTTCAAATGGTTGTGGACGGAATAGAAAAAGCTTTCGCTTAACAGGCTTCCGTGTCTAGTAGCACGGGATCACAAACAATACACGTCACCGGACAAGATAAGTGAATTTGTTCGAATGGCTATGAATTGAGTAAAAAGATCTTTCTCCCTAAGAGCTCTGATTTTTGTTGTATGGAACATCTTATACTTTTCGGTAGAGACCTATCCACCCGATTTCGTGGAAATTCTATCCATTTTGGGGAGATTTCGGGGAAGCCGCTATAGAAAATTTCGGAAAAACAGTACAAAACCCCAAACATGCTCCGGATCTGAAGGAATCTCTTAGGTTTTGGAGAAAAGTTGGGGTTTTTGTGCCATTTCCTCAAATTTCGCGTTATCTGTAGCTATTTGTTTGTAACAATCCTAGTGATTTGGTTAGTTATTCAGGGGCTGGAACGTTATTAGTGCAAACAAATGCGACAGTGATCTTAACTGATTCCACCAAGTGAATAGCTTTGTTAGTGTTGTACGTCTGTGTAAACAATATTAGTTTTATTGATGGTGTAGCGGTAAATATATCATCAAAATAAAGAGCTCTGTAAGTTTTCGACATTGGATGCTGACCACGTTAACTTTAATGAACTCATCTGGCTGAAGGAGCTCGGTCATGCATCCGCACTAGATCACGTGTGGGACGCCGTGCTCAACATCTACTGCAATCGCTAGCCAGATTAGATCAGTCGATCCACGATACATTCATGACCTAGCAAATAAATCTTCGGACCCCCTTGCTTCTGTCTTTTGATTTCACTTGGTAGATACGATTCATATTAGATGTTACTGGTTAAAGCGTTGTCAAATTCCGAATACCTGTGGCATCTTCAATGGACAAGTGGCAGCAGCTCATGAGGGAGCACGGCCAACCATTCTCACTGTCACGCTTCAACTTATCATGGGGCACTTCTCAAGCAGCAACTAATGCATAGAGGCCTCAATTCGCCATACCACTGTGAAAAATAATGGAATGCATCTCTTAGCAATCATCTTCAACTTGAAAATATTTGATGGGATATGACCGTATGCCAGTACTCCACGATGTTGTGCTCGAGTCATCTCTACGTCCGTCATAATGCGATGAGGTTGAATAAACGGTTATCATATTACGGGGAACATAACTAGTGACTCATTATCAAAGCGAAGCGGGATGAAAAAATAAGTCCAAGAAAAATGGATTCATATATAAATCAATAAGTAAATATGTTAATATATAAAAACAACAAATAAACGATGATAAGAGGTGAAATGTTCATAATGGTAGTAATGATGATAATAACCTCAAAACGGGATGCGAGTACAACTACTTAGTACAGAAGCATCTTCTCCTGTTATGACATGTATTCAAATGCCATTTTAGATGAAAGATGGTAATCTACAACTGTGTATGCGATCATGTAGCCTCCTCCTCCAACTGTTGAATGAGATGATCTGTGACCAATAAATTTGGAGGCATATTCTTATTAGATCAGACTCGTAACGTAAAGCCTGACCTTCTCAACTTTTCACCCTTTAATGATAATTCATCGTGTGTTACCCCGAAGACTGCAGTAGTGGGCTTTTGATAGAATTGTTTCCCAAGTGTTACAAAATCTAAAGTTCCCGATAATGCATTAACACCTGGATTAAAAAGAATAAAGTAGCGCCCACAGTCGGACACCAGATTATGAATATCAACTTGAAAAGCTGTACAAACCAATGTGTAAGAGTGGATAAACGTAATAAAAAAACAAGCTCGACATACCTGAACAAAGATGTTTCTAGCTGTCGTAGTCATTGTTATAACAACAAAATTGCAAAATTAACAACAGAAAGGCAAGTCATTAATACAGAGAGTATGCAATACTTATCGGGCATTCAATAAAACCATTCCCGTCAACCCTGGAACAGTATGTTCAAAAAACAAAAATGCCACCAGTGAAGTGGCTCCGAAACGGCAATTAACCGTCCAGGATTTTGCTGATAACTAGAAAATCAAATATGCAATCATCAGGGATAGATCAAGTCAATTAAGTTAAATAGACCAACCTAAAGGACAGTCACCTGTAAGAAGGCCATCAGGATTTAAAAACCTTTGAGAAAAGTGGGGGTGAAATAATAGTCAAGGCCATAATAACATCCAAGAGTTAGACATATTTTTGAAACCTTGGATAAAATGGTAATAATCACTGCATATAAATCGAAAGTGAGATAAAATATTAGTAGATACAGTCAATAAAATAAAGAAATGGGATGTGTGGAGAAAGAACAGAGGAATGGTCAATGAGATGTACATATGCAGAGGAATTTTTCATGTGTTTTTATGGCACATGCAATCAGAATCTGCAGGTGTGATATGTGTAGTTCTGACTTGAATTTTGATTTATGTGTGACCACTAGAGCATGGAATCAACGGTTATGAGTGTCATTAGTTAGCATACTGAGTAAAACTATTTGTGATGAACATAAAATCATTGACAGAAGTAAGCTTCAAAGTTGCTAGTGTCAATTTTACCTCGGAATTTTAAGTTAAGTCTTGCCTCGTAATACAGTTTGATGGTTTCCATAATGTATATCTTGTCCACCTGCAATGCTTTGCTTAATTTCCTCTTTAGATAGAAGTTGGTCCGTCCTCTACCACAATAAGCTGTTACTAATGGTATCCATCCAACCGACATTTAGTATACTGCGTAGATTCTCTTTGTCTATCGACGATGCTGTCCAGTTATGTGGAAGTTTTCCCAATTGTGCGCTTGCCATCTTCGTTCTTGATTGGTCTCTCTAGTTTACCATACTTCCCTGTCGGTTCCTTCGTCAGGTGGTATTAGTATTAGTTCTAACTGCACTAGCCTCGATGCTGAACATGAGATAAATTAGAGAACTCATATTCAACATTTAGCACGGAGAGAAGGTCGACAATAATGTGCGCGACAACAATGAATGGAAATCGAATAGCTCACCCTGCATAGCTTTTTGATTTTTCTATCAAATATAATGCTCTCTTTCCAGTTCAAATGTTTTTCAGAAATACTAGGCGTCATATTGGTGATGTCACTATAGGACGAGTCGGTGAAGACAATGATACAACGTCCGCATGAGATCTTATATATTTTAAAGTCACGTTATGACAAATCCACAAATTTTAAATTGTGTCTTTTATTATGGTAGCGATTTCTGAAGAGCCTCGGCTTTACCATAAGGTGTCATAATTCTTCTAAATGATGATCCTTCAACTTCCAGGGCAGAGTTTAAATGATTAAAATTGTCTTTTCGGCTGGCAATTTTTTTTTGCCAGATTGCTTATCAAGGAATCCGTCTCCTTTAGAACAGCGGCATGTTGGACAAGTTCCAACCACATGACCCAGTACATAAATAAAAGTTATCCTTCCTAAGTTAACTATGAGAACCAAAAGGGTAACCATATGATGTTCCATAATAGACCTAACACTACCATAAAATTTCACGTCCTCGCTTTCTAAACATGTGTCATCTGTAATTCCCTCTCAACCGGCTTGACTACATCCTCTTCCGTAAACCACTTAAAGTGATAAAAGAACTATTAAATACTAATCCACTAATTACATTCTACTAGGAACAACGGATAATTGCACAAGACGATGTGAAACTCACCAGTTTTACCCCCCCCCCCCACAGTACCATATTGATTAACGATCCCACTTATTTATTTATCTAAACCATTTTTTCCTCATTTCCATCTCTCGTCGTTACATACCTAATTACGTGATTGTATCTATAATATTGGAGGATTCAGTAAATAGCTCCTAGAGAAAATTTGGCAAAACAGTGCTCAGTTATGAATTGCCGTCTCTCGCTTGGAATAACTGCGACTGATGCATGTCTCAGAGTCTACCTACTGTTATCAATACCATATATGACTAAATTATTACGATACTGCTTAATACTATCTTGGTTTCCGACTAATTCTTACACCTCCGTCTTTTCACATTGTATATAATAGAGTGGTTAGACGTTATCAAATACCTATAACCGTGCCGAAACAACAAGAATTGAAATCAAAGAAATCAATCGGTTCATACAAGCTCATGACAATGGAAATCGGCATATGTTAACAATTATCTAGTTTATTTATTTACTTCTCGAGACAATCATGTTTTCTTGGAATTCAAACTGTATTGAAGTAACGGGAAGAAGGGTCAAAAAATTAGTTGCTTTATCCAAACTCGTAACAAAAATATTGAATGTTTGAAACATTTCAGGTCGTCGGCCGTTATCAAATCTGGCGGTACGGTATGCCAAGAGACAAAGCAGTATGCGATATTTTAGATGCTTCATTTTACAAATCACCCTACCGCGACAGAAGGAATGATGTAAGTTATGGGACGCCAAATTCTTAGTTCATACCAGCCAATCACTGTTACAAAGTATCTAAGTTTGTTTCTGCACTTGCAATCTTTCGAAGGCACTTAGTAAGATATTTGTTCTTTAAAAATATCTTCCTGCTGAAATCATGTTTTCGGTTGTAAGCTTACTTTAGAGTAGTGCACGCGGTAACGAATAGAAACCCTGAGGATTCACATGATATGTTTAAAAAATGATTTACACAAAATATCCACATATTTCTACTTCAGATGTTTCGTGAGCCCGACTTTTATTAGCTGCCATTAAAATGTATAATGTGTTATTAACTGGTTTGTATGCATCGCATTTAAAAAATATTTTCCGACATGGGCCCACAGTATTGTGTGCAAAATTATTATGCCAGAACTTCACGCATACATTTTAGTTACATAACTATTCATGGCCCAAGTTGCACCTTCAATATATCGAAACAAGAGTCTCTACTCCTAAGTGGAAACAATTTCTGTGCTTGTCGTCTGTAACTTTTAGGGAGGAATAAGCTTATTCAAAAGATATTATATATGCTCTGAAATAATTCTTGGATAAAATAGTAGCACTCGACTGTTCGTAGATTCAAGGAACTCGTAA